CCCCATCCAGCCCAACCGGATGCAGTGCATGCTAGGAAGACACATGATGATCCTTCTGTTAGCAAATCTAGGAGCTTGAGTTACTACCTTTTTCTACCCCTTCAGATGTCTCTGGAGATCTCAAAAACTATGATGTAGGCACCACTCTTCTTGTTAACACAAGGTGAATACTGCTACCACCAGGAACAACCTGATTCTCTCCTGATACCCACCCCCTGGAGTTGCGCAGTGCAGGTATCACCCCACCCCCTTCACTAGCCTTCTTCCCCCCACTCTCTTCCCTTATGTGGGGCCCCAGGGGCTAGTGCAGCTTACAGCAGGCCGAAGAGCTCCCTGTAGCTTTCATCACCTTTCCCTTCTGAAACCATACTGTCCAGCTTGTCAATCAGCTCGGCCTCCACCTAGAGGGAAGCAGAGACTTTGTAAACCCGTGCCACCCTCAGAGGAAGCATGGGAAATCCCACCACCCCTGTGACGGGTGAGCACGGTAGGGAACTGTTCCAGAGGACATAAGATTTTCTGCATCTTGATATGCTTCCTGATTTTGTCCTTACTCTAAACAAATTTCAGGGAAGAAGGATTTTAGCAATAGCACCAAGAAAGTACCTTGCCATCTCTATTGGACCGGTGTCCAATATCCTTCTCCCAATCTAAGGCAAAAGGCAAGATTCCCTGGACAGAAATGTACTTTGGATACAAAAGAGCACTTTGCCAAGTGTTTTCCTTTCTTAAAAATATTCACAAAAAATGTCGTATGGACAACATGCATTTGGTTAGAACTTTAACTTCTCGCCATCCAGTTACAAAGGAAGCTTGCTGGGGTGGGGGGTGGTCCTTACTCTAATGGCTGGCATTAGTCTAGGTGGAGTAAGATAGGAGTTTTTCCTTCAGAGATTCTCCTTCAAAAACATAGGTGCCACTGCTTGTATTCCCAAGACCTAAAGCCTTGGGGGTTACTGCTCTGCCAATGCCCATGCATTTGTTACTGGATTCTTAAACTGTGAGGAACAATACTGCATTTGTTCTGATGCTGTGGACCTAAAAGGGCATTCAGTACTGCTTGGCCACTTTTCTAATAGGCCTCACTGGATATACTTTGAGGTGAGAAATTAGTTATAAGTGATGTGAGATAAAATCTTTTTAACTCTTCTTTAGCTTTTAAAATGGTGATATTTGTGGTGATTATTTATATAGATGTTTTATATAAAGAAAAAACTGGCAATGGCTGCATTTAATAACAGCTATAACACACAAGCTCTCGTGGTATAGCGGTTAACACATTCAGCTGCTACCCAAAAGGTATGAAGAGAGAAAGTGACCAAGGATAGAGTGACCACTAGAGACCCCACATTTTAAAATCAGCTGCAGGGATCCAGGTGAGGATAGGGAACCCAGGCATGCCCAAAGCAGCAGGGTGGGAGAGTGGGAGAAAGAGTATTAAAAGGCCCAGGAGCTGGGACAGAGGAGGAGTCAGCCGCAGGGACCCAGGTAAGGGTGGTAGGAGAGGTTTCCAACAGGGAGACAAACTTGTCTGTCAGTTTGTCCTACCGTGGTGATGTGTTGATGTGAGTTTTGAGGCTGAGCCACTGGTGTTTCAAACCCAGCGGGATGCACATGGTGCACAGGTATCAGCCCAGCTTACAGACTGAGACAGATTAGGAAGAAGGAAGAGACAGTCCACTTCTCAAAGAATTGGCCAGGGAAAACCTTATGAATAGCAAAGAAACACTGTCTGATATATTACCGAGCAACTTTATAAATAGTCCGGTTAGGTTAGAAGGCTCTCAAAACACGACTGGGAAAGAGCTGCATCCTCAGAGTAAACCCATCCTTATTCATATGGATAAGGTAAAGCTTTCAAGACCTCCATTTGCTGATGTGGCACCACT